ACTATCAAACCAGAACTTGATATTACTATATGCATGCTGTTTGCATGACCTTCAGTAAAAAATGATATTGCGATAATCAACAATATTCCAATTACATATACCGTAATATGTCGGAAGACAGAGTACGTAAGGGAAGCAATGAGCAAATCTGTTAATCCACATACAACCAAAATGATGCATAAGGATACAGGTACAATATTTAAGAAATTCTCATAAAATATCGAAGATACTAAGTAAATCAAAAAGAATAGTATCATTCCAACCAAAAATACCAAATAGTATTTCATGGTTGCAAAATTCATGGAAGATAGTAGGAGGCTCACCAATATGCAACAACTCATTATCAACCCAAAACTTGATATTAATAGATGTATTTTTCCTTTATTATATCCAGTTATGTAGGATACAATAATCATTAGAAGCAAACCAGTAGCGAATACTGAAACATATCGCAGGCCAGGAACACTAAAGCTTCCTATTGCTGTATTAATAATGATACAGCCAACTACTATCACCACTGCACTTTTCAGTACAATTATTGTACTCCAGCCATATTCAAAGGCAATAAGATTCGCTATACATATTAATAATAATCCTACAAGAGATATTACTATATATTTGGTATAGGAAGGTTGAACCGTTTGAATGAGCAAGCTAATAATCGTGCACGCAATCAGTATCATCATTGCACATGAAATTAATGGATTTATCGTTTCTTTCTTACAGCCAGCAATCAACGATAGTATTAGAATCAGCAGTATTCCAATAGCAAAGACTGCGATATATTTCAAAGCAGCAATATTATCATATATCAGTAGAAAAGATACTATTGTACATAAAGATAAGATGTACACTGTACTTGTATAGTATATACTCTTTTTCCATCCACGACAATGAACTGTCAAGTATATGAGATAAATAAGGAATAATCCGATCGCATATATACCGATGTATGTATTCAAATATAGACTAACAGCAGCGATGACCAATCCAATTGACACATACCCGGCGTATAAGTTAACACAGAACGCCGTGGTAATAGCAAATACAACTGAAGCAATAATCCCAGCATATAAGTGAGAAAAGAAACAGCACATGACTATAAAAAGACCAGAGGCTATTATTCCTGCATATTTATTATTATAGAAACAAATTGCTGTTATGTATATTCCTGATATAATAGCACCAACATAAGCATTGAATAATAGAAAACTAGCAACAGAAGTCAAGAACAAAAAGGCCAAACTTAAAATGATATAAAGTATGTAACGTGATTTCTTCATACCTTTCTTCCACTCACCTTCATAGGCAATCATCTCATGTTTGTATAAAGTACCATAACCATCTCTTTTCCCATTTATAAAAGAACCCTTGTATAATAATGTCTTTCCATCTAATTCATATTCTTCGCCTTCTCCTTGCCGCTGATAGTTTGACCTTAAACTCGGTATATATCCTCCATAATAGATTTTATTCCCATCTATATATTCGGTCATAATTCCGTTATTAAACTCTTTCAATATCTCGATTTCTCTGTCTTCTTTCCATCGACTCACTCGAATGATCTGATTCTCTCTATATTGATAACAAAGCCCATCATATCTCCCATTGGCATCGATCTGACAAATGCGAACGATATTATTCTGAATATCTCGCTCTTCCCAATAATCCTTCATGTTGTTCAATGAAATGAGCTTTTTTCCATTTTTCAAAACACCTTCTATATTTTTCTTGCCAGAGACATCGTATTCTATATATTTGCCTTCACAAAGCCCATTTCTGAATCCGCCTTCGTACCACACTTTATGAGGTTCATCAAAAAATTTGCATCTTCCATTCAGCGAAATCTCGGTCCCTTCATGCCATTCACTCACTCTAGTCATTGTTCCGTTCTCATAAAAGTAACAAATACCCTCATACCGACCTTCTTTGTCTTTTTTGCAAATACTCTTCAAATTACTATTATCATCATCATCATATTCTTTCCAATATCCATCCATCTCATCTAAACAAACCATATTCAATTTCTTGCCATTCTCATAGTATCCTTCCATCCATTGATTTTGAACTGTGTCATATACCTTGTAATAACCATTGTAAGGAACCTTTCTGCCTCCTTCTTCCCAACGACATATTCCTTGTAATATTCCGTTTTCGAAAATATAACATATCCCGTTATAGTTACCTTTACCATCTATTTCACAAATATGAATCAGGCTACCGCTATCGTCATATTCTTTCCAATAACCATCCATTTCAGCCATTGGAGAAAAATGGAGTATTCTTCCTTCATTATAGAATCCATCGATCCATTTACTATGAGGTTCATCAAACAGTTTAAAATATCCAATAAATGGATATTCCCTTCCTTCCTTCCATTCACTCACTCTAGTCATTGTTCCGTTCTCATAAAAGTAACAAATACCCTCATACCGACCTTCTTTGTCTTTTTTGCAAATACTCTTCAAATTACTATCATCATCATCATCATATTCTTTCCAATATCCATCCATCTCATCTAAACGGACCATATTTAATATCTTGCCGTTCTCATAGTACCCTTCAAACATCAGTCCTCCATTTTCATCGTATTCTCTACTCTCACCGTTCCGAACTCCATCTTTATATTCCCCCTCGATCCATTTTCTGTTTGTTTCATCAAACAACTTGAAATATCCGTTGTAGGGAGTTTCTCTACCTTCGTGCCATTCACTTAGTCTACTGATTTCACCATTCTCGTAAAAGAAGCAAACTCCATTATTTTTACCTTCATCATCTTTCTTGCATACGCTTTGTAAATTCTTGCTATTGTCATATTCCTTCCAATAGCCTTCCATTTCGGTCATTTTCACAAGCTTCTTGCCTTTTTCGTACAACCCTTCATAGACCAATTTCTCTTTTTCATATTCTTTTCCTTTTCCCTGACGATATCCGTTTACAAAACTTCCTTCAAAGTACAAGGAATTCCATTCATCATAGATTGTACATGGACCGTTTGCAATACCATCGACAAATGTCAAATTGGCAACTAACACGTTTTTGTCAGAAAGGAGTGTCGATTCACCATCCATTTTTTGGTTTTTGAGATGGGTAATGATTTTGTAGTCCAAATGAGGCGGACCAACTATTATTGTGGCTTCGTCACCCTTGTTATTGACATTGGAAATCGGAAACTCGTCACTAAAGTTGGATTCCCAACAATTGCCTTTTGCTTCGCTTGCTTGTGAGTTTATCTGCATTGGAACCAATACAGATCCGTCATTTTGTTGAAATGAGCGTTGTATATTACTCATGATAATTTGTGAATACTTGTTTCTATGGCAAAAACAGGGGGTATTTCTCTCAGTTTGATCTGATTGGTGAGAGAGGCTTTGTTATTTTTCTGTTATTTTGCATTGCTTTATATATAGCACAATTCTATACTATTATTGTAGTGAAGCTAATGTTTCCTTAACTTATCTTGTACTTGTATTATAGTGGTATGTTTGCACAAGGCTGTAGGCGGTATTATTTTACTCTATTTCAAGTTATTTTGTAAAATATAGGCTATAGGGATGTGTCTCAGGTTTACACATTTAGCCCTTAAACGTATGTAATCGTATACTATATACAAAAAAATTCTTTGTGATCTTGTTTTTGCTATATATATATAAATAAAAATAATTGTTTTGGAAGTCATATGGTTTTGAATCAAACTGTACAGTAATACTTGATAACTATACACCCGAAAGACAATACTAAATTAACATAATGTTTCCATTTCTTTCATTAATAAAAAGAAAAATGAGGGGTGCTGAATATATAAGTAAAAGACATCTAAAGGAGAAGGCCACGTGAGTCATTCATGACATTGATTCTTTACATACTACTCGAGGTAATAACTCTTTTCTATCATTGGAATGAAACATTGCATTAATCGAATTTCATAGATATTTTCTGTATCACATAATATAAGCAAATTGCACTCAATTTGAACTTCAACTTTCTATTCAAATAAAACTACATTCTATAAACTCATAACTTGATGAGAAGCCAAAAATTAGCCTATATCTCCTGTCATTTACTCTACATGGGATAATTATTAATTGAAAGATATGTAATAAGTCTTGTATGTCACTGGTTGATTTTGTGTGTATTTGTTATAAACCTGTCATTCCGGCATATTGTGCCATTTTTCTTTTAGTATTTCCATATTTAGAGGAAGTAGACAGCACTCTCACCAATACTACGAATAATGTAATTACACGATATGTTTTAGCTTATTTCCATCGTGTAATGTAGTCGTTATGTGTATTTCGGAGAATCATCGAGTTAGTTATTACCTCGATAGTTCATAAACAAACAGGATACAATGCATGGGAACTAAAGCGCTTGACTTTTTTGGAAATATAGCTATATCACATTATACAATAAACGGATAAATACGGCTGATTAAAGCAGGTTGCCAGCAACAAGCACACATCATCATCCACATATTCTACTAATATATCGATATTCTGTACCTACCTGAGTTCAGAATAAACTGCAATGCTTCAGGCTGAAACATCGAAATTAACTCTGGCCTTCCTGCCGCGATTTTACATAGTAAGCGGGCTACAACATCAACGTTACTTTGTAGTTCTTTCATATAATCTAGGAATCAAATAGGAGAGGACTCTACTGTGGGTATATTTAATTAGTGAGCATCTGTCCAGCTTTATATTCTTCTTCGTTTTCACAAATGATGTCTTGGAGAGTAGATTATTGAGTTCATCATAATTATGATTAATCCTCTCTCTTCTTCTCTAAACATTCATACTGATAGAAAACAATTACACATTCGCACTTTCGGTGCATCTCCTTTCGTAGTTGCCTTTCCTCTTCATTTATTACGGCTTTGTTGTGTCTTTTTGTTGTCCTCTCCTTTTTCTCTTCATTCTCTCCAGTATTTTTCTTTTTCATGGTTTCTATATCACAATAATGCCTTGAACGGGTTTTTGTAATTTCCTTTTATTACCAAAATGGAAGAATCTGCATCTTCAGTTAGTCCAGAGCTTGTCTCTTTGACTTTTGGGGCCTTTGTTTCTCAGATTGTTAGAGACTATGAAGATGAAGTAGAAATCAATAAACAGATTGAATTGCTTGGGTTTTTGTTACTTTCCTTCTTTAATGATAGATACAATATAGGAGTGAGGCTCATTGAAGAATATCTGGCAAAAACACGAACTCGGTCTTTAAAATCCTTTAAGAGCTCATGTGAGAATATAGCTTCGGTAGCCTTTCCTATGTTTATTGGGATTACGGCGTCTGTTGATAACTGGAATGAAGACGAGCAATCATGTATCCTAAGTAGCCTTTTTTGTTTGTTCATCATATGTAGAGTTCGTTTCAAACCCGCTATCTAATTTTGTGGAGTTACCAGAGGAGTTCTCAAAGTTACAATACAACGCAGTATATTGTGGAATAATCCGTGGTGCACTAGAGATGGTGCATGTATGTTGCGATTCTTATGTGTTTTGTAGATGAAGGTGGATTGTAATGTTATTCAGGACACGCTAAAAGGAGATGATGTGAACGCGATTCGCATTCGTTTCATTGAATATCTTGAGGATTCAACTCAGTATATGTTAAATGAAGAGTGGGGTTGTTTGTTTTCATATTTTCGAACTTTTCGGAATGGATTCTATTGCAAAGAAGGAGGGAGCTGAGCCCAAGGCTGAGGGAGGGAATACGATTGTTATTCAAGTGTGTGATAGTGTATGTTCGTTCTGTTCGATATTTCATAATTTTAGGAAGGAGGAGCTGTTCACTTTCGTGTGAAGAGCAATACAAAAATGAAAAAAGTTTTCAAAAACTACTCTCAGAAAATGGGTCGTGATCAAAGCTATTTTCGATTTATGTATGATGGCAGATCTATAGGTCAGGACGATACACCTGAGTCTGTAAGTTTGGAAGTGTTAGGATTACAATGTAGTTGGGCATGGAAGATAACGACCGCATCGATTGTGAGCTGGAACAGATTGGTGGTAAATAGAGATTTTGTTTGTTAGTATGTTTGTTTCATTTTTCTTTTTCCTTCTGTTTTTTTTTTTTACAGTTGCAATGCTTATGTCTCGTCCACTATTGCTTGCTTTTGAACGAATATTAGTTATTATCCCCGATTTTGAGAGATTCTGCATTCCCGCGGTTTTAATAATACGTTTTTAAATAGTATTTGTAGAGTTCATATTGACAGTGATGATCAAAACTGTGAAAGTGTGTAATGACCATCGCTATTAATAATAGCTACTCTTCTCCTTCGATGGTTCAACAGTTGAGGATGGACTTAGCTGTGAAGTGAACGATATTGTAGAAGTATTGGAGGAATATGAAGAATGGTACTGGGTCCGTTTGGGAGAGAAGGTAATTGTGATTTGAAAACTACTCTTTAACCATAGACGGGATTTATTCCTTCTAGTTATGTGGAAGAGTCCGGATTTTAATACAATATTATTTGTAGGATCGATAGCAATTCCAGGGTTTATTCTTCCTTGGATAGTTCCACCATGCGGAGCGATATCGTTGTATGAGTTCAATTGCTTTTTCACTTTCTAGAAGTCATCTCAGTCTTCGTCACCAAATTCTGTTCAATGTTTCATTACTTGATTGATTTCGTAGTCAATTAAGAGAGATCCGGATTTGGAGAGGTTATTGCGCCGAAAGCAACAGGTTGCAACCGTTTGTTTTTCTTTTGTGACTGTGATGTAGGTGGAAATCGATTCTTCAGTGAGTTCGGAGATGATTCGAGAGGCTGCAAACGTCCAAGCCAGCCAAATAGCGAAGCCTGTCGTTAGAAAGGAAGAATCTACAAGAGAAAGCTCGCCTCGAGTTGATGCGAATAAGTGATTGTAAGTCGTAGAAGAGCTTTGCGAATCCCTTTCCCCCAACCAGAAAGTATGAATTTAAGCGCAATCCTGAGCTGGATCGGTTGCTACGTAGAAAAGAGCGCCAGATAAGTGTAAAGCCTGGTAGATGAAATTTGAGTTTAGCAAAACGAGTCGTTCGATGCATTTGCTGAATCGAACGAAAAGAAATTCGAATTCAAGCGGGATCCACAGCTAGATCGATTGCTGCAGCGAAAGAAAAAATTGGCTGAAGGTGGCTTTGTGGAGGAACCGAAAGAAGAGAGCGAGTTGAGTCCTTATGAAAGCCCTCGAACGATGAAGAGTGACCAAGCCTCTTCTAGAAAGTCAGAATTCGAGAGTTTTTTTACCGTCTAGGAATGGAGCTTCGTCTCCTACTCACTCTCCCGTCGCAGCAATATCTCGCGAATCGGAAGCTGTCAATCCGAAGTTGCGAGTGGAACGGATCCCCAAGTCGTTATTTATGAGTTCGATCAAGAGTGAAACCAAATTAGAAAGGAAAGAGAAGAAGAAAGGACCCAGTCCGATTCCAGAGTCCAGAAATGGAAAATCTCCGATTCGAGTAATTCCTGAAAGCCTGGATTTAACACATCAGACAGAAATTCCTTCCTTTGGGAGCAAGTCCATGGAACGTCCAGTACGAGCCGAAAGGGAAAAGAATGAGGAGGAGCAGGAGGAAGAGGAGCAGAAGAAGAAGAAGAAGAGGCAGGACGACGACAGCAATGCGATGACCAGCCCACCAATGCCAAAGAAATCGCCGAATGAAGAGGTTTTGAAACTCAAAGAAAAGTTCGAGCAAATCAAAAGAGTGGATCAGTCTGAGAAAAGCAAGGATCGCCCTGTTTCAAAGAAAACCCCAATGGAAAGAACGCCTCCTCTGGCCAAATCTTGGGAGTCGCATTGGACGGATCCCATTGAAAAGCCCGCGAAAGCAAATCCAGAAGTGGTTGAGGAGCCTGTGTTGGCTGCTGATCCGAAGGAGGACAAAGAAGTTTCTCACGACGTCGAAGTGGACTCGGGTGATGCAAGTCCGATGGAGACCTTCCAGTTCGAAGCCTCGCAGCCAAGCAAGCTGACGATCGGGAGAAACACCACTTTTGATTTGGATAACTTGTTGAACGATGTGGACTTCGAGACCGAGCTCATGGAGCTAGCGCCTTCCCTTGACACCATTACTGAAGAAGCCTCCCAGACGGCCGAAAAGGAAGAGGCTGGCGATGATCTTGTGGATGCCAGTGAGATGTGGGAATGCGAAGTGGTGTATGATTATCAAGCGGAGACGGAGCAATCGATCAGTGTGTATGCGGGTCAACATGTGTGGGGAGTGGTGGAAAGTGGCGATTGGACTCAGATTCGTACAGAGGATGGAAGGGTTGATTTGGATTCAATGGCTTATTTGTAGGATGGCTTTGTTCCCACGTCGTTCTTAGAACGTGTTTTACCGCTACAAATCCATCGCGTTGTTGCTTTATATGATTATCAATCAAACGAACCTGACAAGTTGTCGCTTCTTGCAGGGGAAGTTTTAGAGATTTGGAGTGAGTGTAATGGGTGGTATAATGGGAGAAATGCAGCTGGCGATACTGGGTGGTTTCCTGCCACCTTTGTTAACTTCATGTAAATTGGATTGTTTGTTGGGAGAACAAAAAGAGGTGTATTGCGGATTTTATTATTTTATACTTGTGAAAAGAACTATCTATCACGATCTCTTCTGAAGTCATTTCTATAGTCGCGATCACCTCGGAATTCGCGATCTCTTCTGAAATCATTTCTGTAGTCGCGATCACTTCGAGAATCATTTCTGTAGTCGCGATCACTTCGAGAATCACCTCGGAATTCGCGATCTCTTCTGAAATCCCCTCCGTATTCACGATCTCTTCTGAAATCATTTCTGTAGTTGCGATCTCTTCTAAAGTCATCTCTATCGCCATAATTCCTCCTTTTGCTTCTTTCCAAATCCTTGCTAGCCTGCTCATAACCTCTCTTCTCTGCTTGCTTCACAAATACTCCATAATAGGTGTTCAATAAGTTGGCGATTTCTCCGTTTGGTCGACTAGTTCCAATCCTTCCATGTGTCAATCGATTGAAATCTCTCCTATTTTCTTCAGAGATTGAGTCACTTGTTATTTCCGTAAATCCAGCGTCGCACAACATTTCTCTCCATTGTGTGCGACTCTTATAGTAGGTCTGGAAAGTCGTACAAAAGTCGGGAGTCTCAACAATGGGAGACAAAACCAGAGCATAAAGACCGTGCTGAATATCTAAAAACATTCTCATGTCTTCGGGGTTGCAATCATGCTCCCGAATCACGAGATATCCCCCATTCTTCAAGACTCGATAAAGCTCCTTAATGAAGGATTGGATATGAGGGATATGATGCATGACCATATAGATCGTCATTACATCAAAAGAATTGTTCATATACGGAAGCTTCTGCCCATCATAATACTTGAATTGGAACTTGTTTCCCTCAGGAGGAAGGTCGCGAACATCGCACCCAAAAATCTGAGTCGGCGATAAGTGCAGGTAGTTTCCAATAGCGACTGTGATGAAGCCGTCCGCGCAGCCAACGTCGCAGTATGACTGAACTGGGCGGCGGAAAAACATACTGGGAAGAAGAAAGCCCAACTACGACTCAATTTAAAGAGAAGAAGCCATACGTCGCGCACTCGGGATTGAGCGCGTCTGAATGCTTGGCTGTCTGAGTCCGACACATTCGATGGAGACTGAGAAATAGAAACATCCTTGTTCTATTTTGAAAGTGTAAAGAAAAAAGTACTTCTTGCGTAGACACTGGCTTATCTTCTTGCGTAGACACCGACTTGTCTTCCTGAGAAGAGGAAGGAAAGAGAATATGATATAAAGCAGTGTAGATAGAATAGTCTTGCTGCTCTAAACTATCCGCGCTCTCTACCTAGGCATAAGCAGAAAGCACGATACTCACCATTCGACCGATCGTCTCCAAAAGGAGTTCCGATTTTCCAGTAGAACGGGTTTCTTTTCGAATCCACTGCTCCATACGACTTTTCATTTCACCTCCTCTTTCCCACATCGTTTTAAACTGCTTCTGGCTTAAAATCGTTGGAATATGTTCTTCTCCAGGATAATACAGCAAACCAGCATCCAGACTCTGGATGGGAGGTACGATTGCAATGTAAGATATCTAAACTATATGAAACCAGCTAGAGATACATTAGAAGAGGACGCAGGAATTACATCAAATGCTCGAAGAGTCGAATCATCTTTGGGAATCAAATTAAGATTGCTGGTATTAACACGAATACAAATAAAGGGAACACGATAGGTCCAACACTTGGAAATAACAGAACTTATGTCTTGATCACAAATTGATATATGATCACCTTCTTGAATACTTAGATTTAAAGATTTTCGACTCTGCACCAAATCGAGGAACACTGGTGTCATTACGGCATGGTTCGGATACCACTGGTCCAACGCATCAAAAAAACTATATCCACACACTTGTACCTTATTTTCGATTCCCAGATATCTGCAATTCCTATATAGAGTTGCTCTTCTCTCTGAACTGTATGCACACATAAAGACCTCGCATATTCCCTTATTTTTGAGTATTGAAACAGCCTCAAATCCAGAATCAGGAATACCCAACATTATTCCTCTTGATGATCTTCCCGATATATCATAATTTGTCACAGGACAATATTTCTCTCTCGTAGCAATCATAAAGTTCATTATGTCACACATCTCTTCAAAAGTTGGAATGCCTTGACATAGGTCATCTTCTATCTCCAGCTTTCCTATATCGACACTAAAATCGGGAGGTAATGCCTCTCTAACCATTCTTATGAAGTGCCTGATAGAACAAATCACTTATTCATGTTTAATACACGACTTCTACATGTTTCTTAAGTACTGAATTCAATTGATAGACCTAATTGACTTCTCTACTACAGAAAGATCAACGAACTTTATATGAAGATTTTGTTTATTCTTTCATTCTTTTTTCGTATTTTTGACTTTTCGTTGTCATTCATATCTTTCACCTATTAATAGAATAATGCATTATATGTACCTATCATGGCACTCTTGTTTGATACACAAGAGAGGATTCTGGATTTGTTAACAACGTACCCTATTTCAATATACAATACACTTTATTTTACCAGACATAGTATTAGGAATGACCCTATCCGAAACTGGACTGATCGGGGTTTTATTAAATCAGAGTGAATAACGGGAATTTTCCATTTTTGTGCCACCTTTGGAATTCAGACGTCTATTGAAGTTGAGAATGTTCGTTTTATTTTCCATCTTTGATTTCTTGTTTTTTGTTTTCTGAAATTCTGGGAAATGTCCTATTCATCTGGATCACATACATTATATTCAAATGACTTTTCTGGAGATAATTCTGATGATTATGAACCCAGTGATGTAGGTATTTTTGTTTTTCAATAGTTTAGACGACATATACTCGAAGACATAATAAAAGATCGGCTCCTTCCGGAGATCGATATGGAGAAGGAGTATGTGCGATTATGTTTCTTGATAGTAGAGAACCGATGTGGAGGCCAAGAAAACTCATCATGCCTCATGTCATCGCTGTGGTAATATTCGAAAGAAATACATATATTGCGAAAAGTGCCCACAGGTCTTTTGCATGAAATGCCAAGACAAGATGATAGAGGAGTACGGTCCGAATTGTTTCAAAAATGGATGTCCAGTGTGCCAGAAGCTTTGCTGTTGTTCCGAAAAGTCTCTAAATTGTACTAGAAAAGTATATTCTTGGAGTCTCGTTCACCTGTAGTATCATTGCTATAAAAAGTGTCTCACAACAAAGAAAGGAATCAAAAAGGTAGCTGAAAGGAATTCTTTGACATTTAGGGAGTGAACTATCGCGCTGCTGCAAATAGTGTTCCTACAACAGCTCCTCCGACTTCCTCTCTCCCTTCAGCGACTCACTCCATTCCCCCAGCAGCCGTAACACCCACAGCAGCAACCGCAGCAGCAGCAGCAGCAGCGGCGGCGGCAGCAGCAGCAGCTGTAGCGGCGCCCGCGGGAACTCCTGCTGTTTCATCGACTGTGGCCCCCTCCGTTCCAGCAGGCAGTTCCATCCCTTCGGTCTCCCTTCCGATTCGGTCGATCGTGTCCGAGGTCGTGCCCACGCAGCCCTCCACGATCCAGGCCCCCGTCAAAGTGGCGTCTTCCTCCATGCCGATCCCTCCCATGTCTCGTCAGGTTCCGGTAATGCCGGATTCATTACAGTCGAAGACTTCTTTCCATGGTTCTTCTCCTTACCCAGGCCTGCAATCCTTTTCCTCCTATTATCGACCTTATGATTATTCGCCTTATCCCCCCATGACCCCCATGACCCCCATGACCCCTTTGACCCCTCTCATGTCCTTTTCCAGCCTGTCCTATCCGCTGTCCCATGTTAATTCGGATTTAGCGAACGATGTTTTTGGAGGCCCTTTAACGCCCCGCGTTTCTCAGAACCTGTCCGCGATAGGATGGGATCCTTCGTTGTGTCAATTGCAGCGTGCACCCGATTCAATCAATGTACTGAACAATAGCGTATACGAAACACAAGGCAACGTACAGCCTATGATGCTTCCTCTGCAAAGAGTATCTTCGCATCAACATGAACTCGTGCATCGAACATCCCTACTTTCGAGGGGATCAATGCAGAAATCGCCGCTTTCTGAGGGAAATTCTCAAATGGATACAACCTGGATGATGGCGACTCCGCAGACCATCGTGTCCATGTCCTCTCTACCGATCGATAAGCCTGAGGGACTCAACAGCGAAGTTTGCTTTGGAGATTGCTCCGAAAACGAAGGTCATTTGAACGCCGGCAGTGTGCCAATCACACCAACAGAGGTTAAATCTGGACGAAGTGTGGATCGGGTGCAACAACCCGTAGAAGGAGCCCAGCCGATGCTAATGCGAGTGTTTAGTGGGAATGGCGAAGGGGATTTCAGTGCTCCCTATGATACGATACGAAGAACACCGTCTTTGCCTATTCAGATGGTTCAGAAACCTGATGTAAACAACTCTTAATCTCTTTTTGGCCATGTATATTAATGTGTACATTTAGGACATGTTTGTTGTAAACAGAAAAACAATTACTTTAGCAGTTGATTGATAGCTTGGGCAATATGAGAAGGATCTGTTACATAGAAGAACACTGATCTATTGGTAAAAGGTATCTACTATACTCACCTAGATTGGGCATTGATCACCAACGTCCTTTCATTAATCACAGCAGCTTCTTTAATGTCACTCTTTGATAGACTACCCTTTCCTCTAGGTAAGAACATAACTGTCTTTCTCTTCCACAGTAACTACATTCAATCAGATCATAAAAACCATACGCCTTTATCTGTGAAATACAATCTACTTGGATGTATCGATTGATCTCGGCAGTGCTTTTCACACTCAATGCCAGAACCAGTCAATTGTTCTTTAATAGCCGAAATAATCTCTTCTTCTTCTTTACGCTTGCGCTCTTCCTCTTCCTTACGCTTACGTTCTTCTTCCTCCTTTCTCTTGCGTTCTTCTTCTTCCTTTCGTTTGCGCTCTTCTTCCTCTTTACGCTTTCTCTCTTCCTCTTCTTTACGCTTTCGCTCTTCTTCCTCCTTACGCTTTCTCTCTTCCTCTTCCTTTCTCTTGCGCTCTTCCTCTTCTTTACGTTTGCGCTCTTCTTCCTCCTTTCGTTTGCGCTCTTCCTCTTCTTTACGTTTACGCTCTTCTTCCTCTTTACGCTTTCTCTCTTCCTCTTCCTTTCTCTTACGTTCTTCCTCTTCCTTTCGTTTGCGCTCTTCCTCTTCTTTACGTTTGCGCTCTTCCTCTTCTTTACGCTTTCTCTCTTCCTCTTTACGCTTTCGCTCTTCTTCCTCCTTACGCTTTCTCTCTTCCTCTTCCTTTCTCTTACGTTCTTCCTCTTCCTTTCTCTTGCGCTCTTCTTCCTCCTTTCGCTTGCGCTCTTCTTCCTCTTTACGCTTGCGCTCTTCCTCTTCTTTACGCTTTCGCTCTTCTTCCTCCTTACGCTTTCTCTCTTCCTCTTCCTTACGCTTTCGCTCTTCTTCCTCCTTTCTCTTGCGCTCTTCTTCCTCCTTTCGCTTGCGCTCTTCTTCCTCTTTACGCTTTCTCTCTTCCTCTTCTTTACGCTTTCGCTCTTCTTCCTCCTTACGCTTTCTCTCTTCTTCTTCCTTTCTCTTGCGCTCTTCTTCCTCCTTTCGCTTTCGCTCTTCTTCCTCTTTACGCTTTCTCTCTTCCTCTTCTTTACGCTTTCGCTCTTCTTCCTCCTTACGCTTTCTCTCTTCCTCTTCCTTTCTCTTGCGCTCTTCCTCTTCTTTACGTTTGCGCTCTTCTTCCTCCTTTCGTTTGCGCTCTTCCTCTTCTTTACGTTTACGCTCTTCTTCCTCTTTACGCTTTCTCTCTTCCTCTTCCTTTCTCTTACGTTCTTCCTCTTCCTTTCGTTTGCGCTCTTCCTCTTCTTTACGTTTGCGCTCTTCCTCTTCTTTACGCTTTCTCTCTTCCTCTTTACGCTTTCGCTCTTCTTCCTCCTTACGCTTTCTCTCTTCCTCTTCCTTTCTCTTGCGCTCTTCTTCTTCTTTACATTTGCGCTCTTCCTCTTCCTTTCTCTTGCGCTCTTCTTCTTCTTTACGTTTGCGCTCTTCTTCCTCTTCCTTTCTCTTTCTCTCTTCCTCTTCCTTACGCTTACGTTCTTCTTCCTCCTCTTTACGCTTGCGCTCTTCTTCTTCTTCTTTACGTTTACGCTCTTCTCTCTTCCTTTTCTTTTCTTTTTCCTTTTCTTCTTCCTCTTTCTTTTCTTTTTCCTTTTCTTTCTTTTCTTCTTTCTCCTTCTCCTTCTCCTTCTCCTTCTTTTTTTCCTTCTTTTCTTTCTTGTCTTCTTTCTCTTTCTCCTCCTCTTTCTTTTCCTTTTCCTTTTCCTTTTCCTTCTTCTCTTTCTTTTTCTCTTTCTTTTCTTTCTCCTCCTCTTTCTCTTTCTCTTCTTTCTTTTCCTTTTCCTTTTCCTTTTCCTTTTTCTCTTTCTCCTCCTCTTTCTTCTTTTCTTTCTCCTTCTTCTTTTCTTTCTTTTCTTCTTTCTCTTTATCTTTTCGTTCATCATCCTTCTTTTCCACTTTCTTTGCGCTAGATTCTTCTTCAACAGGCTGTTCTGTTGGTTTTTGTTCCTCCTCGGCATCTCTCCATCGATCTTCTGCATACTATAGAGTAAACACAACAACTATTCATCACCTTCTTCTTTTTCTTTTCACTTCCATCACATTCTGCGATAATGCTTTTCCTTATGCCGCTCCTTTATAATTGCTCCGCAAACACGGCACCTCACCTTTTTTGAATGGCTTTTCCTATATTTTTATCAGATTTATATAATCCATATACTTTTTTTCAGATTCCATTCGTTTTTTATTAC